CTATCTCGTGGTCACGACTTAATAACTCGTGGCCACGACATAGTATCTCGTGGCCACGACTTAATAACTCGTGACCATGACATAGTATCTCGTGCGCACGAGATAAATAAAAACACACACACATGTCACCTTAATTTGTGCCACCATACATATCTACTAAGACGTTTTTATCCATTGATTTCTTCCAATGATTTTGGTTTAAAACACGTTTGTGCTGACGTTTTGGGGATTTGAACTAATGAAAAAAAGGGGCCGATTTGGTAAAGGGCCAATATGAAAAATAAGAGACTAAGAATAAACGATAAAATCAATACTGACTTAAATTGTAGAAAGGATATAGTAAAAGCTCTAAGATAAATATTTATGTGTCGACATAGCCCATATATGTTTTGTAACACATGCACAATTAAATATCTAGTTTTTCCGATTTCTAGTCAACTCGTCCCTTAGAACTTATTTCATTTTATTTCAAATATATAATATATTGTGTTATCAGAAAATTTCACCTTATTAGTTGAGACGTGTAGCAAATGGGTTACTTGAAAATTGGCAAAATTGACACCGACCAAGATACAATAGACTTCAATGCCTTATAAATCTTTTCTAAGGTATGTATTTAAAAATAATTACTGCGTGATAAATGAATCTATAAGTTAAAACATTTAAGCCAAAATGATATAGTTTGTCATAATATTATAGTATTATGCTATGTCATTTAAGGCTACATTGTATGCATTTTTACATAAAATGTCACGTGGTAGAGCTACTTTCAATCCGTATTATCTCCTAGATGATTATGAATAATCGGAAAAAAGCGGCGCGGTTTAGGGGATCATTGGTTCTAAAGACGATATCTATATATTTGAATATCATAAGACCGCTTCAACCAATGAAACTTCGGGAACATTTTTGCGTTGTAATAAAAAAAAATTAAACCTATAAATTGTTAATTCGTTTATATTTTTATCGTTTCGAATAATAATTTACTTACCAGCTCTATTAAAATCTATTTTTTGGTACAAAGTGATACCTAGAAGTGTGGGAGTAAAATCAACGAAGAATAAAGCATCGTTTTATTCACATTTTATTCCAACTTAATTCTTTCTTCCCATTGTCAGAAAACGCCAATTTTATGATAGAATGTAGCTTTTGAAAAAAAGACATATCTAGTTATTGTTTCGCGGACTCAAGTTTTTAAGGATATATTTGTATATTTAGTGAGATATACTATCAGCAAGGGCCTACATTTCATATAATTATACATTACATAATTTTCAAAATCCGACAATAAATAAAAAAGTTATGCAATGCTAAATCTTTACATGTTTTTTTCCTCAAAAACAACAAATTGGCACTTAGAACAAAACGTTTTTCAAGCGACGATATGCAAAATGAAATGCGATAGCGGATTTCTCAATTATGTTTCTCCATTTTTAATATATTTAAATTGTAGATTTTATTTACTTGCAAAGTGGATTGCAATAATGGATTTTTCAATAATTGTGTTCTACTTACTCCAACAAGTTTAAATATTGATCTTTTTCTGTTTGATTCTTAAATATCATGCAAAAAAGAGAATATTCTTAAATATCATGCAAAAAATATGCATTGATGGAGAGTGGCTTTGTTGTAGCACTTTTTTGCGCGAGTGACAAGACTTCTTTAATTTTGTCAAGATTGGAAAAAATAACCATTGTATACTACATTCAATTTGGTATTCATGTTCTGAATTCATTTAGGCCTCGTGAGCATGTATTGGAGTATGCCTACAGATACTCATCAGTCAAACTTTTCTTTCCGTGGCGCCTTTTTATGATTCTTTTGAAAGGTCATAATTTTTTTTCTGCCGAATTCTGAATATTTTCTTTTACGTATAGTGGCTAGTTAGTGCCATGTCATATGAAAGGTTTTAAGGGCGACATGACGTTGATTATTTGTGTACTTTTATATTTTTTACGTTTTATCCGGCAAAACAAAAATGTAGCATATAATGCACACAGTGAAAAGTGTACCATATAATCTAATTTTTGCATTTTAGACTTTTATTTGTCCTGTCTACGAGTTGTTTGCCCTTATGTGACATGATGTTCAAAACACGAACAAAAACGGATGGTTTGTCGGTTGTTGCGTGTTTTGACGTCTCTGTGTTTTGCAACATTTTAAAAAAGAACTCACAGACTCCCCTATCGCAATTTTGACCCGCAAAAGAAAACGAGAAAGTGTCACCCTTTTTTGTTAGCGTGGCGAAAAAGCCGAAAACTGCAAGAGTACGAAAACACAACAGTAAGACTTTGTCATTATTTATCCTTTTTTATGTTGTCCAGTTTTTCACCGAAGGCATACTTTAAGGACATGGTATTATCCAGCCACCATAGTTTGATATATACAAGTCAAACACATTTAAATGTCACATGACTCGAGTTTTTTATTAATTTGGTTTACTAGTAACTTTGATTAACATATTTTTTTTAATCACAAAAGCAGATGTTAAGTGGTGTATAGCAGCAGCTGTAAAAATTTGCATCGTACTGTAATTCATCTTTGTGTCGTAATATTTCCTTGTCCTTTGGGACCATTTATTGGATTAAATAACGAATACCACTTAGGTCGGTGCTACGGGGCGTAAAGTACATTGTAAGAGCTCTCGGAATAGTTTGAATGTAACGATTTTAGCAACATGTTAAGATTACAGTGAAATATAGTTTAATTACAATTTTGTGTAGAGGAACCATCTCCATCTAAAATAAACTGTATAAGATTATTAATCAATGACCAGTAAACATTTCAATAACTTCCATTTAAAATCAACTGCGTCTCGACATTTTGATATTGTTTTTGTACATTTTGGTTACGAAAAGCTTCTTTTAAAACATACAAATAGAAAACCAAAATGCATAAGCAAAACAAATAAAAACACAAAACAAAAACCATAATGAAAAAATGAAAATAAAGAAAAACAGAAGCAACACAAAAGGAAACTCGGTGAACTGCTTTAAAAGGCATATGCTTGAAAACGAGGTCGGTGACCCACAATTATTATTTCGCTTAAAGTGTTTCTTTTATCGTATTCTTAGATGATATACGAAATTTAAATTAATTCATTTATGTAGCATTCATTTTGCTACATGTAACTCAAGCGTACACCTTTAAATGACCGATAACAGAAAATCTTTGTAATATATGCCAATATGTTTCGAATAGCAACAGAATATGAGCATATGAACACACCCAAAAACATGATATTTATCTTCTATATCTTTCTAACAAATTTGACAAATATGTCTTACACTAAATAAATAATGATGCTATTGAAACATTATATATCATATAATATCGTGTGATATCACTGTCACCAAATATATAATAATACCAGATATCAAATCAACAGTCCCATTTCTCAGCTTCCAACAAAAAAAAAGCATTTTATACGAGTGATAAATTGTAAAAATCCAACAAAAAGGGCAAAACACCAGAGCAATCAGTGTAATTGGCAGGGTTTGTTTGATGAAGTGAAAATTCATTTATTATTCAATATCTTGTTCAAATTTATTCACAAAACTAATTGAAGACATAAAACTAGTATGATTACAATATTGAAGAATTAGGATAAGGTTTGATAAATGTCTGTAGTTCATTATGACGAACATTGAACTATTTTGTAAACTAATGGACCGCCAACATTATATATTTATGATTTTTTTACTCCGGTACAAAACATCTGTTTAATACTGATTTGGATTTCTTTTATTTAAAAAAAGTGATGATGATAATATTGGTGATATTTACAGTAATGATGACAATGATGATGGCGATAATAACAATCACAATATGATGACGAAAAAGAATATGATGATGATACAAAATAAAAACAAAGAGAATTTACAAATATTTTTTCACAGGAGAATATACAAATGAATAAAATGAAAATGGAAGAGTCACATTGCACATTCCATGATAATCATCGTTTTTCAAGTATACAATAGCCTTTACGACCTATTTGTATTTGTTAGTTGAACAAACAACCCCTGGATCCCCAAGTTTGCCCCCAAAACAAAACATTAAAAATAAAGTAAAGCCAATTATTTCCGAAAAGAAAAAAATAGCAAAAAATATCTAGACTAGACTTCATTGAAATTTTACAGTTACAGAAAATAATAGCTTTTATGCAGGGCTTTATGCACTTTCTTTGAAGAAAATTCATTCAGTAAAATAATATCAGAATCGGGGTTATTTTTAGAATTTTTCCTCTTGCTCTTCGCAAAAAGTCAAATTAAGATAAACATTCTAGTTCGAATGAAAAACATAAAATTAACCGACAAACTGTTCGGTCTATTGAATTAAACAGTATACATATGTTTACCCACAAAACGTTCCGCTGAACCATTCCATAAGGAGTAAGAAATAAGGCTTTTTGCTTTAGTAAGACAATTTTGACATTTACCGGCAAATAACGTGGCATACTTTTAGGGGTATTATATTTGATCTCGCACGAGGGTTGCTTTTCATATAATATTTACATAAATAAAGCCATAGCAATGGTTTTGAAGTAATTTCCATGCATAAAAATTTGCTTAACAATGGAAATCTGATTGATATGCGACCAGCTACAATATGTTACCAGTATCTGAACGATCTGTATGATTTCCTTTGCAGCATACATTTATTGTGGCTCTTTGAATAAATTCCTTTCTAAGACATGTGTTAAAAAACTTGTGATGGAAGTAGAACAAATGACAAATTAAGAGGTGGAGTTTACTTGATGTTAATGTTTCAGGTATAATTTGTTTTCTATAGGAAAAGTGCTTAATTTGTACTCTTTGATTTAGATCTCTCTAATCTTTTAGGCGTTCATGTTTTAACACACTTGCTTGTACCAACTAACGTTTCATTGTAAATATTAGAATATTTATAGTTCAGTTTTACTATGTCAATATAAATGCAAAACATATTCATTCTTCTTCACTTTATCTATAATATGAAAAACGAATTTGTATGAACATGGGATATGATGACTTAGTATTTCATTGGCTTAATTTTTCCGATAGAAAAACCAAGTGAATGAATGAGCCGAAAAAAGTCGAGTTTACGCGCCTGTAGCCAGAAACCGATTCTGAAGTGGCATACAGATATATAACTGGTAATCGAAGCGCTTTCAGTTGCAATCTGTAGTAATGAAAATTTATTAGTACAGACACGCTACGATTTTGGCATGAACTGGTTCTACTCTGATAAAAGTTTGCATCAGGTAAGCGTTTATAATTATAGATATTGTATTTTGTTAAAGCTGCACTATTTTTCTACAGTATGTGACTTTTAAAATTAAAATTAAATTATTTCAAATTTAAAATCACTGACTATATGTGTGTAATAAGTCATCGACTATTTTTCTTCCAAATGAATTTTGAATGCAATTTATTTAATGATTTGCTTTGTTTATTTCAATGAATATCATTTTGTTTTGCTACGTAATTTCAATATATGTCATTTTGCTTTGTTTATTTTAATATATGCCTTGTTTTGTTTATTTCAATGTTTGTCGTTTTTTTGGTTTTCTTTCAATGTATGTTTTTTAATTATTTCAAAATATGTCACTTTATTTTTTTCTTTCAAAGTATGTTAAATTTCTCAAAATTATATATGATTGCTACTGTTAATCAATTTCGTCTACCATGCTGATTTAATCGTATTGCAATAAAGCCTATATAAAGAAAAATCTTGTGTAATCAAAGTCATATTGTTCCTATCATTTTAATAGGTACATTTGCTTTGATGTTTATTTTTACAAATGTAAATTGATTTCCATTTTCTAAAACTATTACCGTTTATAGTCATCGAATCCCTACCTACTTTCAGATGAACTATCATAAAATAATATTTTTTTATCTTACTTTTTATTGCATTAAACGAGTTCGAAATATTGCAACGTTAACATAGAAACAAAATTGTAAAAAAAGAAGAAGAAAAAAAACAAGAAAGAAGCAATCATACTTTAAATCAGTTAAATAATTAAATTTTCAGAATTGAGAAGAGTCGAAAAATATTGGTTCTACAACATTCTGATCTGATTTGACTTTCTAAGATTGCAAGCTTCTGATATTATATTTTTCTGTCAACTATTTCGTGGATGTAAAGTACTGCATTCGAAAATTTATCGAATAGTACTTTAATATTCATAGTCGTAGTGATAGACTTCGGATAAATACAATTTAATTTCAAATAAAGAGATATTTTGATTAAGAAGAAGGTCTAGTTGTTTCATTCGATCATTAAATATACAAATTAGGTATTGTTATTTTTCATCTTTTCAGCAATAAACTTTATTTTATTGCTCTTCTGTGAAAAATTTGTAACGTTAAATTGTAATGTTTGGTGATATTTAAAACAGTATACATTTCTGTAGGTATATATTCTTTTGTAATAATTTCATAACACGTGTTTAATTTATTTTCAGACAGGATTACGTGTCAACGGGTTGTGATGTGACCAAGAATGACAGCGTTTGTACAGAAAATAAGGGCTTAATAGATGCATATATACACTAAATGATAGTTGTTAACGAAATAAGAATACCTTAATGAGGGTAAAGGACTGTAATGAAATTATTAAGCAACAAAAACCATATTTGTGATCAAAACGCAAATGTTTACTTAATCTACCTGTGTTTAAGGCTGTGTATAAATTTTAACATATTAACTATTTGGAATAAATTAAACAGTAATTTAGATAACAAAGATGTATATGCGCCCATATGAAGAATTTTTAATGGAGTATGACGAGTATGTGGCGCATAGATACATATTACTCATAATACCACCAATTATACTTACGGTTGGTAGCATAGGAAACATACTTTCATTTGGTATACTATTTACAAATACAAACAAAGCATCAACGTACAGTTATCTCAGTGCTTTGGCATTGGCTGATTTGTTAGTGTTATATGTTGGATTATTAAGAATTTGGATAGGACAGTTTATGACCGATTTACTAGATACAAACAATATATTGTGTAAAGTTGGAATATTTATTGGTTACGTGTGCAGTGATATTTCTGTATGGCTTATTGTAGCAGTGACTGTAGAAAGATTTATAGTTGTTATGTTTCCACTGAAAGCACCAAGACTTTGTAACAAAAAGACCGCTCGGATTACAATTATAACTATCATATTCCTTTTTATAGCAGTCAATAGCCACTTTTTATGGACTGTGGAATTACATCATTATAATTTTGATATGGTTGTGATTTCTAAATGCCATGCTAAAGCATTATTTACAAATTTAGTGGAAGAGGTTTGGCCCTTGGTAGATGCAGGAATTTATTCTTTTGTGCCTTTTGTTGTGATAATAGTATTCAATGGTTTTATAATCAGGAATATCACGTCGGCTCGCCAAGCCCGCCTTGTTCTCAGACAAGAATCTTCGTTACAGAAAAGAAAAAGTGGCCCTGGCCAAAGCAGAAAACAAACTGAGTCTAGCAAAAGAATATCAGTTACTTTACTGGTTGTGTCATTTTCTTTTCTTATAACAACTTTGCCTATGAATTTAGTTCTGATCATCACGTCTCTGGCAGATGAAGTTGATAATGAAGACGATGCAGAATTTGCTAAACGCAAATTGACAAGTTCAATCGTTGAAATGTTAATGTATACAAATCATAGCATTAATTTCTTTTTATATTGTATAACCGGTAAAAAATTCAGAGACCAGTTTAGGAGGTTGATATTCCGTGTATGTAAATCACACTTTACACAAACTGTCGGAGGAAACTCGCAAATATTTTCTTCTAGTAGTATGAAAACGACAAGGTCTGATATAGCTGATAGAGATAACTTGCAAATTGACAACACTCGTGTTTGAGCTACAGTAGACAGCTTTTTTGTATCATACACAACATACAAGTATATGTGAAAATGACATTAAAAAAGTTTGGATTAATACTACATTCTGTATTAAATCTTAAAACTTTAAAGGTATGTTTTGCACGAAATTAGCCGAATTGTTTTGTTAAGATGGTCATGTACATGTACTGTAGGCAATAAACAAAATCATATGTCAATCATTCTATAATTATTGTTTAACATAGAACCGTTCTCATTGTTTGAGGATTTTCACATTCGACATATATACCTGATAGATTATATTCATAATCCTTCAAAATCAATGATACATTAACATACAACAACACCATCACAACAACAACAACAAAAACATCATCATCGGCATCAGCAGCAGCAATAACAACAATTATCTAAAACAGCAACAATTCTTCCCAAAACAAATAAAGAAAATTACAACAAAGCAAACGCTAAACAAAAACGATAACAACATAACACACATAAAATCAACAGCAACAAATCCCCAAACCATAGACAACAAACTATAAAAATATTATGTGTGTCTACTTTTGTTCGTGAGAACTAATGTCGGTTACGTCAATGAGATAATTCACATATGCTTTTCAGATGCAATTGCCTTCTTTTCTGGCTTATATCTGCATAGTTTAATAGTTTACAGACGGCCAGGATAGTTATGTGACCATGAATAATTTTCGGTACATGGCGTTTTATGTTTCTTCATAATCTGTGAATGAATTAGTTGAAACAATATACGACGACCAGAATTAGCTGAAACAATACACAACAAGACTTAGGAGTAACAACATACGATCAGAATTAGATGAAGCAATATATGATCAAAATAAAGTGAAAAAAAATGCACGGCAATAATTGGTGAAACAATATACGATCAGAATTAGGTGATACAATACACGACCAGAATTTTGTGAGACATTTCGAGACCAGAATAAGGTGAAACGACACCCGACTAGAATAAGTGAAGCAATACGCAACCAGAATTAGGTTAAACAATAGACAACAAGAATTAGGTGAAACAATATAAGATCAATTTAGGTGGAGGAATTTATGATCAGATTAAGGTGTGAAAATGCACATAAAAAGGTGTAAAACATTATACGTTCAAAATCAAGTGAAACATTATACGATCAGAATTAGGTGAAATAATATGCAATCAGAATAAGATGTAAGAATATACGATCAAAATTGTGTGAAATAAGTCATGATAAGAATCGAATGTAACAATATACGACCAGATGTAGGTGAAACAATATGCAATCAAAGCCAAAGGATTGTTCTCTAAGATGCCATTTATTTCTTATTTCAAAATAATATATTTTCATTATATTTTCCCAAAAGCCTTGATTAATAGATTGTATCTTCTCGTAATCAATCATTGTTATACTTTTCCATATTACATAAAAATAATATGATGCAAATATCTGATAAGAAATCATTCAGAAATAATAATACAATAGCTTGACACAAATAGCAAAATAAGTGAAACTATGTGGTTAAATTGTGGTCAAACAATTCGAGACGTTTACATACGATTTCTTTTGTCTGCTTTATGTGTCTGTTGGGAATATCCAACATCTAGAGCAATTGTATATTTATTTAACTTATATATAACTTTTAGGAAGTAAGTCAGAAATTATTTTACATGCCACGAATTCGCTAAAGTTGGTATAGACCATGGTACAATATGTCTGACAATACAAATGTTCTTTCCGTTTTCTAAAATAAGATAACAGGTTTTGGCAACTAACTTCACAATAGTTTTCTCTGACATGAAGTTTTTTTATATTAGCTTATTCTCCGTCTTAAAATAATGAAATCAATGATACTGAGTTTGTACACCGGGCAAAAGCTCTTGTCTCACTTCATAATACAAGGACGTTTTGTTGTTGTTTGTTTTACTAGGGGGCCATATGCCGCTTTTCATGGAATGGCACTTAGTGTCACATTGAAGGTTCCATGATAACCGCCATACGATCACATCTACGGATGTTTCAAAATTCAAAATTGTACCAGTTCATGTTAAATGTTGAATTCTGCTTAAGTCGGTGATAGGGGCGCGGGCAGTAGTTTACGGTACCGTCCATGAACAGGCTCAATCAAACCGAGCCTGCAACATTTTCAATCTTTCTTTATTAGGGATTCTTATTTTCTCTATTCTCGCAGTACATGTTTTACATTTTTTTAATAACATTTGCATAAACGATTATAATAGTAACATTTTCTTTACTCAAGAGGCCTAGCTGTTAATCTCCCTATTTCAATGTTGATAAATATGAAATGCCATATAAATTACAAACGAGAAGCGTAATTGTAACAGGTAACCTTTAACATATTTATGATTATGCACATCGTTTAACATTACCATTAAAATTACAAAATATGAGTATAAAATGATGAACGTCAAGTGAAATGTATATTTCCTCCTCATTCATTTATCTATTTGTTCAGTAGAAAAAATTCAGTTTTCGTTTAAATGAATTTAAAGAATCTTGACACATTTACAAAGTTGAATCAGCTTTTCAGGAACTCCACTGAGGTTTATAAGCACAAAAATCACAAAATTTTAATGTCTTACATAGCTCAGCCGGTGTATTTTAATTAGAAAGATATTATATATTAGATATTACGAGTAAAGATAATGGATGTACTAAGAAATGAGTTGAACATTATATTTTTGTGCTATTCTATCTAAGTAGCCCGAATTGAGTGAAAAGCGTTGCAACAACTATCTGGAAAAAACGGAGTACGACCATTTTTTAATTTTTTTTTAACTAATTGAATGTCATATTTCTAATTAAACGTCATATTTTTTATTTTTTGGAAGATGAGATTTAACCACTTAATTTCATTTCTCCTCTTTCGTCATAAATTCTTGAATAGCGAAATTACAATTATACGAAAATAGACCGTTTCAATAGTATGTGATAAAAATGCGTTAATAGCTACGAATATTTCTCAAATATCTTTTACATTAATAATCTCAACAATTTGTATTCTCTGACATATTTTTGTTCAAAGTATATTGTAGTGTAATGCAAACATTAAAATAAGAAATCTGTCAACAGATACCTTACTATGTTTTGCTTTTTGGTAAAAAAAAACGAGTAGATATTGTCAGTGTTTAAAAAGAATATAACTACTTTAACCAATTGGTTATTTAAGAGAACAGAAAATACAGACAACATTTAATACAAATAGATTAATGAAACGACAATTTATACAGAATGGATATATAGATGACATATATTTGTCATATTTGAATTAACTAATCATCCAATTAATATCTCATTTATGTAATATTTCTTACAAATTAGGCAAATAGGAATATGTCGTCTGTTTGCAATATGTAATGTCCAATGTAAATTCCAATATATTGTAACTAATGTTCTGAAAACAGCATTCTGGTGATCCTTAAATTATCCGTGATTGGTTTCTATCAAAAAGGATACTGTGAAATATAATAGAAGTGAATAATTGCAGCAGATTTGTGCCTTAGTTGGTGTTGCATATAGACATATAACTGATTGAAAAATACAAAATATTATACACATTTACATACTTTTTGCATGACAGAGAAAGATAATTATGTACAATTTTTCTCCATGTGCTAAACATTTTACAAAATGTAGAACCTCCCTTTACTTTCAAAGTTATCGTTTATTTAAATAGATGTTAAGTTGTATTCAATAATTTTTATCAAACATTAAAAACTGTTCCCTCCTTTAAGACACCTATCGGATACCTTTCATTAAGATAAATTTATCCAATATTTTCAAACTGTTTGGATTTATGAACAATAAAAGACAGTTTAATGACCGACAAATAATAAGAATGTACAAAAATGTATAAACTTTTATTGTTATTATCTTTATTATTACCAACGTAGAAACATTTAATAGCCGTTTTTGTTGAGTATACGCTATTGACGCAAGGTAAACAAACTGAACATATAAATAAAAAGAAAGTATCAAATAGACATTTTACTAAGAATAATCTGATATATTACTTGCAAAGCAATATACCAGATAAAACAAACATAAAAAAATACTTGCTGTCAGATATTATTACACTATATGCTTCACGTTTTATTATTTTTTTGCTCGAGAATAGGGAATGTTTCAGTTATGTAAAGATGTATAACATTAAAAGAAATTATTTATTATGATAAACAAAGAATCATAACTTATTATGTATTTAGAAAAATAATATTATATACATTACCTACATAATAACATTTATACAAATAAATGAAAATGTAAACAAAGTTCTTCATTACAAGATAAAAAATTGGAACATGTTGAATTTGCAGAGATAGTTCAATATCTCAGTTTGAATATATGTAACTTCATTTTAAGGTAGATGAATAACATATCACGAAAGCAATCTTTACGGTGAAAAAAAATTATTTGAAAAGATGTTGGGAATAAGAATACGAAATGACGAAATAAAGAACTGATTGATATTTCGTTGAAAAACCTTTCTGATACGTTTTAGTTGCTTCTATCAAGGCGGACTCAAAACCAGAATGGCCCCGTTCAATTGTTTATAATTTGATATCATTATGAAACAATTTGTATATCTTCCTCGCAGTGTAAAGTTTGTGTATATATTTCTTTTAAATGCTAGTTTTTCATATATATTTTTTACAAGATAGTTGTTTATTTTTTAGTATTTTGTTAAAAAAACAATCATGGCAGGCAAATGTATGTCATTTCCCACTTTTCGTCTCAAATAGTTCAGACATTAATTCATAAAATGTACTGTTTATCGGTATCAAATTATATATGTTTAAATGTTTTGTGATGTTTGCGCTAAAAGGCAATACTTAAATTCAATGGATATATTGTTGTTGTGCCTGTTTTGCATGTAAAACCGAAATATATCATTCAGAGTGAACATCAAATACAAGATTATCTTGGATGAAAGATTAATTTGTGATTATATACAATATTTGCCTAATCATTTTGTAATATTGCTTTATGCTTTTAAAATCAATCTTATTCAGGCATCGTTTTTATGATAGAAACGACTTCAATATTTAAAAA